GTCAACTTCTTGTGTGTGTCTCCTCATGGGGAAGGGTTCTCTGGTGTCTCTTCCCACAAGGGCACTAATCCCTTTCTGAGGGCCCCGCTCTCACGACCTCAGCTAAAATGATCACCTTCCAAAGCACTCACTCCCGTACCATCTTATTGGAGGTAAGGACTTTAATACCTAAATTTGGAGAGGCACAAATGTTCGGTATACCAATATTATTTCTCTGGGGTTCTCCTGGGCCTTTTCAGCATCTCTTGAAAATTCTGCGTGATTATAAGCTACACAGCTGAACCTGGAGGAAACACAGGGGGACACAATGGCAACACTGTGTTTGAAATGTCACCTTGAGTGGGGAGGAAAATCCCCTTGTATCCTGTCTGTCTGCTACCTTCTCTGCCTTTCTTTCTTTCCCACATAAGCCCTCATGAGGTCCCTCTCAGCTCCTTCCTCCCAGGATCTGCCCAATGGAAGCGTAGCAGAGGATGTCAGAGGACCTGAGGTGGAGAATTTCCCCCTTGGCTCCTTTTATGCTCTGGCTCCTGCTCTGGGAGCGATGCCATCCTTCATGGCTCCGGCTCCAGCAGAGGACACCATGTGGTGTCACTCTCCGGTATCACCCCTAACTAGTTTCTTTCAGGTCACAATCTCTTATATTCCCCCCTACACATGAGAGTTTCTGGATGCCTTCACCCCTCTCCTGGGTTCCCTGAACCCCATCAAGACACTGGAAAGAGTCCCTTCGTGAGAGAGACTTCACTGACCTAGCTGAGGGGTTTTCCACTTTCTGGTGGGCCCCTGAGTGACAGATGTAATGATAATAAAATTCACTATTTCCCCCATGCAACCTACTTTCCTGTCAGTCCTGCTCTTAGTTTAATAAAAAATACTTTCCTTCATTAAAAGAAGGACTCCTGGAGAAATTCCAGCTGGCATGTGTGGTTTCTGAAAGGCCATACTGATGACTGACTGCCTTAAGGGAAGCAGTCATTTTCAGTATTGTGTGGAAGCAAGACTGAGGCATCCAGGAACTGAGATACAATCCCTGTTCCTGGCTCCATGCATTAGGAAAAATGGTAAGTTGGAAAAACAGTAAGTCAGCGTAGGGGCTGGCAGAAACCAGCTGTGGAAAAAACGCATCTGTCTACTCCACTCTCAAGACAAAGTAGTCATTACCTGTCCAGTATGTACTCCTCTGCCGATATTAAGGGCTACGGTGAGGTATGTAGTCTCATGGCCTCTAGCCCCAGTCTTGGAAGTAAACGAAATCAAATTATTCCTGGAGAGTTCAATTTTAAATTACCTTCTCTAGATCTTGACAGAGAAATGCAGAGTCCCTTGAAAGCAGGGATCCTTGGGAAAGCATGGCTGGATCTCCAGTAGACAGCACACAGCACTGTCCACCATCCAGGACTGAACATGGTGGGCAGAAGCTGCTGGGGAAGCAGAGTCTGTGCGTGAAGTTTTAATTACACCTGGGAGACATCTGCAGGAGCATCCTGGGATATTCACGTATCCTTGTTGTAAGCCAAACACCTCACATTATCTCGACCTGACCCGTTAAAACCATCGATTACCCCTAACTCCCTGTGTTCACCAGGAACTATTTTTAGAGTAGTTTTTCTAATTTGAAAGTAATACGTTTTGTTATTGTTAATGAAAGAGAGTCTGTGTGTGTGAAACTAACAGGCCTGGAGCTTGCTATGTAGACAAGAGTGACCTCAAAATCACATTCCTCCTGCTTCGCCTTTCCAAGTTCTGTTAGTATAGTGGTGTGCTACCATCCTCGGCTTTAAAAAAAAAAGGACATTTTAAAGTTTTTGTTATCTAATTCGTGTGTGTGTGTGTGTGTGTGTGTGTGTGTGTGTGTGTGTGTGTGTACACGCTACAGTGTCCATGTGGCAGCCAGTGGACAACTTGTGCGAGTTCTCTCCTTCCATTATGTCAAACTGAGGGACTGAACTTCGATTTGACAGGCTCAGCTTTGAGTACCTTTGCCCAATGAGCCATAAGCAACACATGTACATATATAGGTAATAAACAGGAAATATGGACCAAACCCAGGAATAATGTGAAAAGTATTAACATAATTTTTTCCATGCTAGTTGACATACACAAATACGTAAACTCACTTAATAATGAAAACAAAATTACTTCGTCCTTACTGAAGTCTGTCAATCTGCTGTTCACTTAATATTGAACATTGTTGGGTGTCAACAAATGTACCCTGGCTGCAGACTAACAGCTGCATGTTTGGAGTACCTAGGGTAGTCCTGTAATCCATTTAACCAAAGCTCTCTTTGCCCATGTCCCCCAGGATTTTGTAATTATCCACAGCACTTCTGAAGATATCCTCATAGAAAATTTTTGCACTCCATCAGCTATTACTCCACACAGATTTCCAAAGGGTGAGTACTCCTCTAAAGGCGGTGGAACCTGGGAGAGTGGAACCTAAACTGAGGCTGACTAAAGTCTCATGCAATAGTCAGCTTTATTCGGAGCATCAGACAATTTATACCCTGAGGGTTAAGAAGAGTCACCTGAGTAAAGCTTTCATGAGTTCAAGCTGTATACAATCACAAGGATAAATCCCACATGGCAAAAACATGGTTTTCCACAGAGACATACAAACAAATCACAATAGCCAGTTGTAATGAATAATCTGAAGTAAACTCACTCCTATCTTCTACACCTGGGGCGGGGGTGGGGGTGGGGGAGGGGGTTGTGGAGCACAAAAACCCCATTCCAAGAACAATTCTGTGTTCTGAAGAAACAAAGGTCACAAGACTCATGTCTTGTTTTCTTGGAGTTTTCTCACAAGCACCCAGAATTCTCCTTACATGACTCCATTCTTGGACCGTGTTCCGACAGAAGCGGATGGCTATTACCAAACTCTCGATACATTTAGCCAGATTGCTTTCTGGAAGATGGTATAGTTCTCCGGGGTTTGCAGTGTTTGTTGGTGGCAAAGTCATTAAAATGTTGCTTTGACTTGTGTGTGTGTGTCATTTCTAATGACTAGTAAAGCTGAGGTTTTACTGAACTTATTATTTGAGTCACTTATTTTTGTTTTTATGTTCCTATTCATACTCTTTGCTCTTTTAAGGTTAAACTATCTATCTTATTATTTATAGAAGTTTTCATATTTACAGGAAATTATTTTTTGTGATTAACATTGCAAGCATTTTTTTCCTGTTATTTGTGTTTTCCCTCAAGTTTGGGATCAGAGGAGGATGAATCAGATGCCCAGCAACAGAAAGCCCAACTCTACTGTCTGAAATGAGGGACTTCTTATCTCACAGAACAAATATCCAGCGGGGAGGACTGAGTTACACAGTTGACAGCATGAAGGCTCACATCCCTGCCCTCTCCTGGCATCTCCTGAGTGTCATCCTAGAGACAACAAACGGCTGCTCGAGTGTTAGCCATCGTGTCTGTGGTCCAGGAAGAGAGTCCGGATGATCCCTGCTATGTCCCACAGCCAGAACTTGCCATTCCAAACACAGAGGGGAAGTGACTATAGGAGAAGTAAGGTTAAAGGCTCAAATTCCATCTGCCAGAGAGATCTTTCCCGGTTTTTATATAGCCAAATTAATCTATATTTATTTGTGCTCATGATTAGAAAGTTCCATATATTAAATATCTGTGTTTTCTTCCATTTAATGGTTTCTTTGTCCCATAAGATCCAAATCAAAAATTTCCCTAGATATTAGACAACTGCATAATACATTTTTTTTAAATGTCCTTCACTGCTGTGAAATACCCTGCATGCCTTGATCTCAGATACACTTGAATCCATTCAGTTACTTATTGTTCCAATCCAATCTGTTTGCTAGGTGCCAGTTGCCTATCAACATATTGAAATGGCCACGACTAAAGAGAGAGACTGTGGTATGGTCTTAAGTGTCACCTTCCATGACACGCAGGTCATCCTTTGAACCCAAGTGCTCCCTAGCTTCAAAGGAAGCCTTAATAATAATGCTAAGAAAGTTGGCAAGGAGGTGTACTACATGGGGTGCACTCCATTGCACACTGGTGTTGCCAGACCTACCCATCACACGGTCCATCCTGGGCGCTGTGCCTAGAGTAGAGAAGGGTGCACAGGGCCAAATAAAGACCTGAAGATCTGACTCTGGGTATGGAATTCCCGAAGGACTGGGGGGTGTGTGTGGAGCAGTGGCATCCAAACTCACCACAAGTGATACGAGAAATGAGAGTTAAACATTGAATGGCCTCATGGGGACCTTGGCTTCCAGGGGCTGTGTGATGGGGGAAGCCGGTGGCATGGCTGGTATGTTACCTGCCTGCTTCCCCGGGCCTGCTCTGAGTGTGGGAATGCAAGGATCCAATCACATGATTCGATTTACAGGAAGAAGGGTTTGCCTCCCTGTAGCTAGAGTTTTCCTGCCTGGCCCACAGTCAGGACAAATCTCTGTCACCCGCCAGTCCCACAGCCGCTCAGACCCAACCAAGTAAACACAGAGACTTATATTGCTTACAAATTGTATGGCCGTGGCAGGCTTCTTGCTAACTGTTCTTATAGCTTAAATTAATCCATTTCCATAAATCTATACCTTGCCACGTGGCTTGTGGCTTACAGGCATCTTCACATGCTATTTGTCATGGCGGCGGCTGGCAGTGACTCCCTCCGCCTTCCTGTTTTCTCTGTTCTCCTCTGTTAGTCCCGCCTATACTTCCTGCCTGGCCACTGGCCAATCAGTGTTTTATTGATTGACCAATCAGAGCAATTTGACATACAGACCATCCCACAGCACCTCCCCATTCCAGCAAAGATTCCAGGAGGGCCAGTGAGACTCCTGGAGAAGACTATAGCAAGTTTGGAAACCAAATGTCTTAGTTATGGCTTTATTGCTGTGAAGGGATACCATGGCTGTGGCAACTCTTAAAAATGAAAATATTTAATTGGGTCTGGCTTACAGTTTCAGAGATTTAGCCCATGGTGGGATGCATGGCGGCAGCAGGCAGGCAGGCAGATGTGGTGCTGGAGAAGGAGCTGAGAGTTCTTACATCTTGATCCACAGGCAGCAAAAGGAGACTGTGAGCCACAGTGGGCATAGCTTGAGCATATGAGACCTCAAAGCCCACCCCCATAGTGACACATGTCCTCCAACATGTCCTCCACACCTCGTCATAACGCCACTCCCTGCAGGCCAAGCACTGAGACACACGAGTCTGTGGGGGCCATGCCGATGCGCACCACCCCAGCACTGAGACACACGAGTCTATGGGAGCCATGCCTATGTGCACCACCCCAGCACTGAGACACACGAGTCTGTGGGGGCCATGCCTATGCACACCACCCCAGCAGAGAGAGCAGGTCTGAGCAGGGGCCCATATAGGACAACTGCAGAAGCCCTCAGAGAGAGATGAGCAGCTAGACCTGCAGGGCAGGAGACACAGCCAGGACAATACCTTACATATCTAAGGGATCCCCAAAGCATGTAGTTGCCATTGGGTGGAGTTGCCGGGTTACAGGGGACTGCCTTTGGGTCTGGTGGTGACTCTGATCAATTGGCTTTGTCCAGGGCAAAGTGGGTCACGTGTGATGAGACCCGAGGACCTCTGTACCTGAAGCTGCCTCTGGTTGTTTTCCTCAGAAGCTGAGGATGTGGTTGGATTTAACATAGTGCATTGCCTCCATCACAGGGTAGAAAGAACACTTGGGGAATTCAGGCGAGGTACAAGATAGAAGCATGTACCTCCCCAAAGCATGATGGGCCTGTGGCTACGTTTTCAATGAAATGAATTAAAGCACAATCTTTCCTGGAGTTGAGATGATCAGCTGCAGGATCCAAGGTCATTCTCATTACCATAGTCATGCAACTCTGGAAGAAGCAGCCAAATAAGGATAAACATAACAGCGGGGCTTGAAATAGGCCATCTAATTCTACTGTGCGTCAGTCTATTTTGGCTTCTCAATGCCACTATTTAGAACATGCTTTGGGGACTGCATTTTTGTTCCTAATTGATAGGAATGAAGTAGATTATTTTGCCTGGCCATCCCCCTATAAAACTTCATCTTCTCTTAGAATCTGAATAGCTCTAAACTAAAAACTCAATGACTTGGTATGGGAAAGAGAGACGGTATTTTTAAGTCAGGACAGTTTCCAGCCCCTTCATGAAATCGGGCCTTGGCTATTCCCACCACCTTTCTGGCCCAGAAAAACAGCAGAATGGTGACATCTCTGAATATTAGATGTGGCAAGAGCCACAGAGGAAGGGAAGTGGGCTCTCTCTCTCTCTCTCTCTCTCTCTCTCTCTCTCTCTCTCTCTCTCTCATAAAAGAGAAATGTGTCATGGAGGTTGGGGACTTCGAGGAATCCTAGCCACCAATTAGTTTTATATTTTCTGGGACTACACACAAGGATACATGAGGCCACGAGATGCCCCTGAACCAAGGTTTCTGTGGTCTAAAGACATGACTGTGGCCTCCTATATCCTCCTCCTGAAGGTTCTGAGACACCCTGGGTAAGAAATCTGTTAGATTTTGTATGTCAGACTTACTTGATTATGAAATATTGTGAGGTGTAGAGGAAAGTGGGTGAGTGTGTGTGTGAGTGTGTGTGTGTGTGTGTGTGTGTGTGTGTGTGTGTGTGTGTGTGTTTCCAGGTAACACACGGCAACTTCAGGAACTGGCGTGACACCAAAATTGCTAGGAGAGAGAGAGAGAACTGTCAGCGATGTGATTTTCCCCGAATTACAGAGGAAGACAATAGAGCACATACTGGGAGACATGGAGACAGGCGGATCCCTGTCTCGGGGAGGGCTGGGGACTTGACCTTGGATTCCCAACAACCAATCCCCCCCTTTTTTTTCTGGCTATCACCTTGAAAGGGTCACTGTTCACAGAGCTGGCTCTGATGTAGCCCCTCACACATCGTTTTCACTGTCTGGAATTTGAGGTTGCATTTATTTATAGTGCACTCAGCAATGAATCCATCAAATGCTTCAAATGTGTTTTTTTTTAAAGGGCATTGAGCCCTGAACAGTTGACCTAAATAAAACACCAGTGTCTAGCTGGCATGTAATTTACGGTGGACTGAAATATTCTGTGAGGCTGTATCATCATATTCTCGGGGGTATCACTCCACAAGCAAGAGTAAATCCGGGAAGCCCAAATGCAGCCAAGCATTGCTAGACTGGGAGCATGCAGCCCCAGCGGAAGTCATTGTAGACACTTCTCTGCTGATGCAGAGGATGCCAGGCGAGCCAAAATTATTAAAAAAAAAATACCTACCCAAAGGCTACATTATGTCCCCCACCCAAATAATAAAAATTCAAGTAGCTTGAGAAGAGACATTGTGTACAAACCACTAAGGCCCAGTGAGTAGATTCTTTAATTCAACATTTGCTTCTGAGCCTCTAGCATGGACACTGTGGAATCTTGAGGAGAGAGAGAGAGAGAGAGAGAGAGAGAGAGAGAGAGAGAGAGAGAGAGAGAGAATGAATGAGAATTCATTTGAGGTATAGGACACAATGATCACAATGATCAACCCCAACAGTTGACTTTATAATAAGCTTCTAGCCCTAGAATACAAATTTAGCACTCCTCCAAAGCCAATACTGACCCAAGAGTTAATGTCTTGTGAACCAGCAAAGGTGTCCTTTTCCACATGCAGCCCAGCTCCGGAGCACAGAGTTTGGTGAACAGAATGCAAGCTGGATTTCTGGCCCACATATGCCCCCTCATGCAGATGAACCAGTGGCCAACTGCAGGGAAGGGCCCTGTCTGTCCCTTGCATCTCCTGTATCCTCCACTCTTGTGAGGCTGCGCCAGCCTTCGCCCTGACCTTAATCAGCATGTGCTTCTCACGTGGCTTCCCGTGGGCCTTGGACCCCAGTGTCAGCATCCAGTTGGCTCTGTCCCCATTCTCTAGGACTGATAACTGGATTTTGGAACCAAGCTCTTTGTGGATGCTTTGCTATTTCAGCTCTATTTGTATCTTGCAATTATCTTAACTCTTGCAAAGGCCTAGCGTTATCATCTCTAAGTCACCAGTTCTGCCTAGGGTTGGGACCTGCTACCTGTGAACCGATGGGACACCAGTAGTCTTGCTTGGATTCTGAACTCTCTCCCCTGCACTGGAGTATATGATACCATATTACCTATCTTAGTTAGGGTTCCTAGTGCTGTGCAGAGACACCATGACCATGGCAACTCTTATAAAGGAAAACCTTTAGTTGAGGCAGCTGCTTACAGTCAGAGGTTCAGTCCATTATCATCATGGCGGGGAGCATGGCAGCGTGCAGGCAGACGTGGTGTTGGCTACAGGAAGTGTACTGTCTCACTGGGTGTGGCTTGAGCACATATGAATCCTCAAAGCCTGTCTCCACAGTGACACACTTCCTCCAACAAGACCACACCTCTTAATAGTGCCACTCCCTTTGGGGGCCATTTTCTTTCAACCACTGCATTATTTATTTAGAAATCCTATTTCATCTCACGAGAAGAACACTCTGGCTGACAGCCTCTTTTGCCTTGACTCTCTAGCAAGAACTTTAGCCCCAGGAGAAGCCTACTTGCTTCTAGGTGTTTAACCCAGATCCCAGTTGCCTCACTTCTAGGACCCAGCCTCTTCTCCTGCTGTGCCCTCCGCATTCTGAGCACACACAGCCCCAGGTTTAGTGCATATAGATACCTATCTCCCTGGCCTTCCATGGCCTCATGTGTGGTAGTTGACGTTCAGAGTTGAAGTGGATTTTGTAAGCCAGGAGCAAACCACCCTTTACTTATAAAGGTACGAAATATAAGACTTTCAGTTACAACAAACATCAACAACAAAGGTAGTTCTAAGGAAGTCCTACTACTTAAAAAGCTGAAGCCTGGCTCTGTAAGGTCTAACAAGCCAAGTCCTGTGTTTCCGCATTTCATCAGAGCAAACCCGGAACTCGGGACCACAAAGGATGCTTGAAAAACACATGCCTTGAGTAGGAAAAGTAACGTCAGTGTCAACGGTGGAGTCCTTTGTCACACACGAGACAGAAGCTTACTTTGTTTTGTTTTGATACAAGATCGTATGTAGTCCAAGCTAGCTTTGAACTCACTATGCAGCCAAAGGTGACCTTGACCTCCTGATCCTCCTGCCTCTACATCCCAAGTGCTACGATTCCAGGTATCTTCTGTAGTCTATAATCTCTATTCATTCTATCATGTAGGACATAATCAGTAATATAAATAAAATATACGTAATAACCACTTAGTGACACACGTGGTTGGGATCATAGATTTTTAACAGCAAATAGGTCGGACTGCACCAGAGCTCACCCTGGGAACCAATGAGCTTACTGGGCAGGCTTGTTACAGAGCGAAGGGTAAGTGGTTACGGGCAGGAGCAGAGAGGACCTTAAAATAGCCATACAGCAAGGGTGATGGCTTCCCCAGGGCTGCATAGATGGAACCCCGTCCCCTCATCCTTCCCTGTCTATATCTCCTATCTCCTCCCCCAAGACCACATGTAACTAGGGCAAGATTGCATACAACTGGTTAGGAGGGATGCCTGGATACTCAGGTTAGGATTCTACGCCTCCTCCTCCTCCTCCCTCCTTCTATGAGGGGATAAAAATAGCCCACAGGCCCAGCGGTGATGATCTTTTGAGATGGGGTCCAGTAGAACTGAAGGCGGTGGCAGTTTGGCTTGGGAGATAGTCCCATACAACAGATCCTCACAAGAGAAAGGAAAGCCGTGAAAGGAAATGGTACGTATCGCTCTTTTGTAGGAAATTATCTGGTGAATTATGAACTATAAGAGTTGTCAAGAGGATTCCTGGATGATCATTAAGAGTAACAATACAGCTGATCTCACAGACAGAGCCAGGAAGGACACACTCTACAGTAAAGAAAAATGGAAAGGAAGACTCGGCAATGGCATCTTTCATTTACCGTGATGAAGACAGATATAGTAGTCAATCTGGGACAGTTACAGAGTGGGATTCTGAAAGATAAGTAACGAGATACCAGAAGTGAATAATGAACCCCCGGCTTCAGCTCACTCCAGGGGAGTTATGGCTGTACTTACCGCTGATATTGCACCGTATTGATTGTGGTAGTGCACTGCGAGGTAGATTCAGCCCTGGGGAGCTGGTGCAAATACTGGAAAGAATCCGAGAAGTCTGACTAGGGGGAGGTGAGTACCCCATGGGCTCACCAGCCAGGCCAGGCTTTCTCCTCATGACATAATGCTTCCAGCTCCTTGCTTTCCAAGAATGTTCTCACCAGGATCCAGTTTGATGAACTATCCTGGAAACCTGTATTTAAACCAGAAAATTTGTCTTTTATACAAGGTAGTACGCATTTTAAAGTACATGTCTCCTTTATTTTTTCCCTCTCTCTAAATCAATGGTGCATCCCTTGATATAATATTTCTCAACATTATGTAACTACATTAACATGTTACTTTAGTCAGTATTTTACTTATTATGGTAGAAAGCAGAGTAATTACAGATAGAAAACTCATTTCCCCTTCTCCTTCACAGGAAACTCGGTTAGTGACTCAAATCTAGCAGGTCTATTCATTATGTGTGCCCTTAATTGGGCAATAACTTTTAGAGACCTCTGCCCCAGAGTTGCGACAAGTATTTCACATCAAGCAGCATTAAAACTTACTTGACCAATACATGACCCTTATTAGATTTTGAAAATAATTCTGCCTCGGACTTTAAACACAGAATGACTGGAACTCCAAATAAGTATCTTAAAAACTGATGAGAGCAAAGAGTAGACGTTTCAGTGTGTGAACCTAGCCAAGGCTTCCAAAATTCTGGGAACAGTGATGCCAAAAGGTTTCTAGCTGTTGAAATTTGAAACAGAATCTTCAGGGGCCAAAGAGTTTGAGATAGGAATGTGGTCGGATCCACTGCTGGTGTGGACTTTTAGCTGACTCAATCCAACACCAGAATAACAACGATGGATAAACTCACTTTCCCAGCATCCTCCTCCTGCAGGCCATCTCATTCCATGCTTCTAAAAGGAAATCATGCATCTGTTGAGGTAATAGTTACGCTGGCATTTCAGGGGGCACCAAAGCCTTTCACTCTCCCACCTCTGCATCCCCCTTGAGGAAACACTGTCTTGCTAGGTAGAGAGAAAGCCTCCTGTCCAACAAGAGGCTGCTCCACAGGCTTGCAAATCACCTCTCTGGAGCTTGTCTCTTGTTTTCCCGCAGAGACAAACTGAAGTGGAATGCTGCTTAAAGCAGGAGTCTGGAGTGGCTCAGGGTTCGAGAGCACTTGTTGCTTTTCCAAGCACCTGTTTGGTCCCAGCACCCATGTAAGGTACCTGACAATCACCTGTAACCCCAGCTCCAAGGGATCTCACACCCTCTTTGGGCCTCCTTGGACACACACACACACACACACAGCATATACTTACACAGATACATACATCAAATGAAAGCAAAAATAAATTTTAAGAATTCATAAAACCAGCCCATCGGCTTGCACTCGAGGTTCCTGATGCTGCACGCTGTGGACACAGAAGACCTTGGACAACACTATCTTCAAGAAATGTTTCCTTTCAGTGTTCTCACTGCGATTCTTGGAATGTGGTCCCAATCACAGAGCCAGGAATTCCTGTCCTTGATCTTTAAGGGCTTCTGAGGCTCCAGAAAGCTGTTACAGAGCCAGACACAGTGCCAGCATCATTATACAACTGGACTGGGGTCACACAGGGTTTGAAGGCACTCACCCAATGAGACAGGCTCTGGGGCACAGGACTCTGCCTAGATTTAAATATAGTCTCCTGTAGCAGGCTTTCTTGGACCACCAACCAGCTCCCAAGTGAAGACACCAAGACTTATTATCAAGTATGAATGCCTTATCTTATGCTTGTCCAGCATAAGATAAGTTCTTACAACTTAATTTAACCTGTTTCTCCTCATCTATGTTTTGCCTCGAGGCTTTTTACCTTCTTTTGTTTTGTATGTCCTACTCCATGTCTGCCTGGCTGGCATCTCCCTCTCTTTCTCCTTTGCTCTCTCTTCTCTCCTCAAGAGCCTACATTTCTCCTCCTACTAATTCTCTCTGCCCCGCCAGCCCCACCTATAGCTATTGGCTGTTCATCTCTTTATTAGACCAATCAGGTGCCTTAGACAGGCAAAGAGATACTTCTTTACAACATTAAACAAATGCAGCATAAACAAATGTAGCACATCTTTACATTGTTAAAGTAATTAATATTCCAAACCAGTCTCCCTTCAAGTCTTTATGGTAAACAGTGATATAATCCTTAAAATAAAATTCATTTGTGCTTTTGGTGGGACACAGCAAAAAACAACAAAGAAATCATAAAGGGTTCTCCATTGGTAGACATGCAAGCTCTTAGGCCGGAACTGGCTTGGATACTCTGGGATGGGGCCAGCAGCCTGTGATCACCAAGCCCTTCCAGGGAACGCCAGTGACTGAGCTCAGGTGAAGAGCATCTGTTCATCAGGTAAGGAAGAACCTGCTTTGAAAGCCAGGCTCTGCCCCCTCAACAGCTGGGTGCACTTGAGTGCATTGTTCTTCCTGGGTTTCTAGAGGGGATTCGATGAAAGCAAGCATTTGAAGCACTCAGTGCCGCGGTGTACTTTGCTAGCCAGCTTTCCATCACCACAACCAGACACCTGAGCTAGTTCACATACAAAGAGAAAGGGTTTAGTTTTGCTCAGCTTTGGAGGCTCCAGTCATGATCTGTTGGCCCAGATAAGGTGGATTCTGTCCCCACCCATGCAAATGAACAAGTTACACAACTATTGGCCAGGGTCCTTTCTCATCCACGTCGTGATGAGAACAGGTAACAGAACTAAACCACTTGGTTGTTTTTGTTTTTGTTTTTGTTGTTCCTGAGATGAGGTCTTTCTGTGTAGCCCTGGCTGGCCTAGCAGTTGCTATGTGGACCAGGCTGCTCTGGGACTCACCTGAATGCTGTTTTGAAGGAAGCGAGGACAGGAAGAAGGAGAGGCTGTGGATCCCACAGTCCCTCTTGATTAGTGAAGGCTGGATTTATTGAGCGCACCTCTTGATGACGTTAGGGCTCCCCAGTAGGCCTCACAGTTCAAAGGTTCGACCAACGGGGATTCACAAAGATGTAGCAAGGGCATCTAGGAAGCACTTGGCATGCTAGCAGCCATGGTCACTATTATATGACAGGAAAGAAGTGTAAGTCCTCTCATGTTTGAACAAGTTAGCACAGCATTTGCCTGCTCTGAACAGGCCACCCCAGACTCTGAAACTGGGCTTCTAAGGAACCCAAAGGCCAAGCACGCTCTATGTGACCCCACCCACACAGAAACAGAGCAATGGTCCTCCACTCAGCCAAGCATCAGAATCCTCATGCTGCCCTAGACTTTCAGAGATAAAATCTCCTGTGGGAGAAATTGAGCAACTATAACTTTTTATAGGTTAATGTGAAAGAAACTACGGGATCAATGGTGACAGCAATTAGAACATTATTATCTGTGCCAGACACCATGCTAACTCCACCACACATCCTCATCTCAAAAAAATAAATAATTAAAAGGAAAGAAAGAAAAAGAAAAAAGAAAGAAACGGGGTCTTGTTTCATCACCTAGTCTAGATCTGACCTTACGACCCACTTGTATCAGCTTTCCAAGTGGTTTCGAGGAATGTACAATACCCACACCCGCCTTCATTCAGTTTTCACAGAAATCCTTTGCGGTATTGTTTCCATATTTAATAAACGAGGGAAATGGGGTGACGAGAAGAAGCTGTACACCACCAACTTCACACAGATGGGAAGGGCTTTAGGACCTGAATGCAGGCTTGAGCTAATAGATACATTTAACTGCTGCAAAACCCAATAAATTCATTCACTCATTCTTCTGACTCACATTTATTATACATGACCAGGTAATACGCTGAGAGCAGGGGAAAATAAAATGAGTATAGATTCCCACCTCCACCCTCAAGAAGCCCATGCCCTAGAGAGATGAGAAAAAGATAGAGGTAAATGGGCTGGCTTCGTTTAAAAAGATGATGTCATGAGTCTCCTGTCTTTCCCCTGAGAGGCTGGAAACATTTGCTACTTCCCATTGGCCTCCTTCTCTCAATGGCCATTTACTCAATCCATCGCCGTTGGCACGTCGTCGTCCTCCCAGATTGTAAACACCAGGCCTGCCTGCAGGCTGCTAAGGCTCCCAGCAACCCCAGGGCAGCCTTAGAGTTAGTCTTGACAAGCCTTGAGAGCACACCTTCAGGGCTCTGCACTTCTGGGCTGGTACCATTCATTCAGTCAGTTCGCTGGTCCTGCGCGCCCACTGCCGGCGGGCAAATCAGATGGTCGGGAAGGCGTGTGCTTCGGAGCTGGCAGGCTGGTTCTCTGCCAGGACTGGGCACGTCACTTAAATCTGCAGTAACAACTATTCCGAAGTTCTTCAGAAAGAAACGGGGAGCCTTTTCTAATCGTGGCTTGCCTTTTTGAATCGTGTCATGTTAGCGTGGGCCAAACCCTTGGATAACAGTGTAAGGCTGCGTGGTAAACGGAGCTCCGGGAGCCAAGCCAGGCGGAAACTGGGCTCCGGGTTCCATCTGTGACCCCTCACTGCCGCCTAGAGTCGGAGCTGAGTAGTCTTTCAAGTAGACAACAATGCTAAAGTCCAACAAATCTTCGCCTTGCAGAAGCCCAGTGATCCTCTCCCGGAGGCGGGCTTGCAGGACGCCGCCCTCGGCTCTGGGCTGGGGACACCGAGACTATTAAGGGCAACCGCGGTGAACCGGACCCGTCTTCGGGTTGCACAGGGAAAGCTGCTGCGGAACCTGTCTTCTCTCCCCTTTGCGTTCCCACTCGGGCTTCTTTGGAAACGGACACGGTAGAGGAGACTTTGAACATGGAGACCGCGGGCTCTGGGCCTGGGGAGCCTTCTCCACTAGAGGCTCCAGCGTCCGCAGACGATCGGCTCTTCCTGATTAAAGGTATGGTTGCCCTGCGCTGGAGTGGGATGTTCTCGAACTCATTCCGCCCTGAGAGCCCTCTTTGGGGCTTTACCCTGAACTCAGCCTGTAGGGCCCATACGTCACTCACCAGGTGAAGTCTCCTTGGAAGGGGCGGGCACATCTGGTTTCCAGTCCATGCTGTATTTACCCATCCTCTCTATAGATTTTCTTTGCACCCTGCCCTTTTCTGATGGCCACTATCTCTTCTTCCCGTGGAGCAACTTCACGCTGCTGTCCTAGAAGGCGGGGGAAGGGAAAACACCCATTCTCAGCCCTGGAGAACCGTGCTTCAGAGTGTCCCCCAGGAACCAGAGGTCGTTGGGTCACGCAGGTTTTCTCAGGAGCCTCTTAGCCTTGATGTTTCGAATTTTGAATGCAATTATAAAAGTACCTGAGACTTACTTGTACAAATCTTTTTAGTTTAAACTTTATTTTTAATACCTTCTCCCAATTCTTGGCAGGTGGAATTTTCCTCGGTTCTGCAGCAGCAGCGGGAATGCTAGCCGGATTTATTACAACATTATCATTAGCTAAAAAGAAAAGCCCTGAATGGTTCAATAAGGTTTGTGACTCCAAAATCCATTCATAGCGTTGCTGTTGTTTTTTTAACAGAGGACCTTTCACGTTGTTTTTTAAAATATACCCACAAAACCCATGGATTTAAGAAGTATACTAGATGTCAGTCGTGACCTTTTTCGTGTGCTTTCTTAAAATTAACAGAACAAAACTTTGGAAACGTATCCATTGCCTTTTGTTCCTCACAGCATGGCTAAGTAATTTATTATTGATAACAAGAGACCTTGCTTAGAAAGAAAAACAGTATCATTTAAGCTGTTGATACTGGTTGCAAGAAGTATGTATATTTCATATATGTTACAGTGTTAACATTCTTTAAAAAATGAATGAAAATTTTGTCCTTTTTTTTTTTTTTTTTAACACAAGTACCAGACATTGTTCAGCCTCAGTCACCATAAAGTCCCTGGCACGTAGGTGCTCAGAAAGCATTGGATGAATAGCTATATTTCCACCCACTTGAGACAGAAGATCCTTATTCTGTTACCAAGAGTATACATTTTCTGTCTGATGTCATGTACCTACTTTCCCTGGTTGGTGGGAAATGTTCTTGATATGTATCTGTAGCTGCTTATAATGTTTTCTCTTTCCCCCTCCCATCCATATGGCTGATTTATTCATTACTTCATCGCGTCAGTAAATGTTTACTTGAGATCTTTTATGTTTCAGACATTCTGCTGTTAAGGTGGAAAGGGTACAAAAATCAATAGCATGTCTATTCCTCCAGGAACTTAAGTGTCTGCTCTGAGAGACAAAATTAGATATTCACACAAATAACTATGTAAGTAGTTTAATGTGTGCTATGGGAGAATATTATGTGAAAAATCATAAACCAATTCTCTTCCCATTTATCTGTAATAATCATACTTAAGCTTTATGGATACTGTAATGACAAGAGACTGTATCTAAAATGCTTTTCAGTTCCCTTTAAATTCTCTAAAGGCTTGTGGAGCTATGAAAAGATCATTTCTGTGGCTCTTGGGGGTCATTTCTTCCCTATATTATGCAATATTTTTAGAGAAGAAATTTATTTTGTGGCAGATGTCATTAAGACCCAACTGATATTGGTATTTAACGGTGAATTTTGTATGATTTCCAAACCACAGTTATAATTATATTAAACCTTGGGTCAGGGATCTATTTAAGAATCTGATGGGAGCTAGGGATTGAATTGTCATATTTCTACATATTGACAGCTTGGTGCTTTGTTTTGTTCTGAGATCGTATCATTACACTTGCCTTTTGTGGTCTAACACAGTTTTAATCCTGACGGCCCTTGAGACAACTATTTTCCCATCCATGTTCTGAGCAGTGGATGGCAAAGTACTAAAGTGGACACTACATACTTTGGCGTAATCCTGACAGCAATGGTATAAAACCATCCTTGCAGTCCTTTGTTGTAATTCACCAGTAGTTCTAAGCAAAATTAAAAGGAACCAGCATTAGGTAAATGTCACTGTTGAAGCATTAAAATTATTAACTTTATTCAGTATGAGACTCGGATATGCCCGACTTAAAAGTTTCTTATGAGGAGGTGGGAAATGTGCCTGAAGCACCTCTGCCTGACAGTGAAATATGATGTTTTTCTGTAGAAAAAGCAACTTCCTTACAAACTGAGCCAGCACGTCTCTCCCTGGAGTATGGTCTTTGTGAAGGAACAGCTGACAGACTGTCGGTTACCCAGAAGTAGGGTCATGGGCAGACATTTCCTTAAACACACAAAGTAAGCCTGACTCTTCAGGAGAACAATTGTCAATCTTTGTTGCCACTGATATTAAGCTTTCAAGTGAAAACACTTAGACTCGTAACTGCCATCATGAACTTGACGGCGTCTCAATACTTAACAGCTTTGCTGATAAGATGTTATGATTTCAGTGATGATTTTAAAATACTGTTTAATACGTGAGCTCAACAGTTGAAAGATCTGTATAATTTAGTAAACTAGTAGTTCCTTCTGAATAGTCACTCTGCATGGAATAGTGTCCGTTCAAAGTGCAAAATTGACTAGGGATTTGAATGTTACAAATGGCAAAAATTTTCATTTAATAAGACTCCATATGGCAACCAACCTTCAGAAGGCTCTTTATGTTCAGTACACCTGATATAGTACAAAGAAGAAAAGCTAATAAAATACTTCTTTTTCTAACTGCACATCTGTATGAGGCCAGAGTTTTATTCATATACTTCAGCTATCAATGAAAAATATAAGAAAACATTTTATAAAAGATTGATTATAGATATGAAAAGCCACTATTTAAGCTGGACATTTAAAAGATTAACAAAAGCATAAAACATCAATCCTCTGTGCCTTTTTTTCTTTTTGGTTTGGAAAGACAGTTATTTTAATATAAGAATTAATTTATAGCAATATATAATAGATTTGCCATTTTAAATGAATAAATTTATATATAAATTTCTGTTTTAATTTTTTTCTTTCTTTTTTTCTTTTTTCTTTTTTTTTTTTTTCCGAGACAGGGTTTCTTTATAGTTTTGGTGCCTGTCCTAGATCTCATTCTGTAGACAAGACTGGCCTCGAACTCACAGAGATCCGCCTGCCTCTGTCTCCCGAGTGCTGGGATTAAAGGCGTGCACCACCACCACCACCACCACCACCACCCAGCTCTGTTTTAATTTCTAACATATTAACTATTGATAAGGCCCACATAACTGAACATCTATGGGGCCCGTGTATAAGGAAACACTGCACAGAGTGGCTAAAATGTTAAGCTTACCCTACACAGAGAAACATTGAAATTTGCAAACCCCCACTTACCAGACAGTTGCCTGACAGCATACAGTTACTGAGTTCCTTCTGGGCACCCATTCGAGAATGTCACTTAGGCTGTGTAGGACGTCACCACCTGCAGGTCCTCTCTCACATTCCCAGTCCTAATCCCTAACATCTGAATGCTTGTTGTGTCTTAGCCACTCTTCCAAGGGCCTCACTCACTCAACACACACAGCCCACTGAGGCACCGGATGCTGTTCCCACTAAACAGCAGGACGCTGGGGCGCCCATGGATTAAGCAATCAGTCCGACATGGTACTCTCCTTCTTTGCCCCCCACCCCCCAAGGAATAAATGGTACCACTTTTAGCAATACTCTTATTTAAATAAACTGTGCTCTACCCTGGAAACAGATTCAAATTGCAACCCAAAAGGACTTTCAAATGACCAGCCTTCCATTTGGGGCCTGCCTACGCTTTTTCTACTTCGGGGCATAATCATTCCCTTAGTCATTTATTTTCTAATTGCCGAGTCTTACACTAGGAAGTCAAAAGTTGAAAAAGAATAGTCTTGAGAGAACATGTATTTTTCTTTGTAATTTCTTGAATAAAGAGAAAGGGGAAAATGTAAAGTAGAAACTAAAGTAAAAGAATTATTCCCTCAAGTTGCTTTTATCTGTTAATGCACACACATCACAAAGAGATACAGAGAGGGGGCGAGACAGACAGACACGTGTGTCTGTGAGTATGTAAGTGCTATGGACAGACAGACAGACACGTGTGTCTGTGAGTATGTAAGTGCTATGGACGGACAGACACGTGTGTCTGTGAGTATGTAAGTGCTATGGACGGACAGACAGACAAGTGTGTCTGTGAGTATGTAAGTGCTATGAATGGAACCCAGGGCTAGCATACTAGGCAGGCATGCTGCCAACAAGCTATATCCCCATCCCTCCAAGATTATTTTTAAACCTGTGCTTTTTACGTAAACACTGGTTTTATAACATGGTTGTGAGACTAAATGAAGTGCCATCTGTGAAAAATATGTGCATGTTATGTGCCCATTTGGTTAGAATTGTTGAAAATACAGAATTGATGTGTATATAGACATGGAGTTTACTTACCTAAAGTAATGGCATTGCAGAACTTCATCACATAACTGAGTTATTTTAAAACCCTTTTATGAGTAGATGAGTAGGACAAAGAAGCAGGCTCTCAGGCATCATAGCTTT